ATTGAAATGGCAGTACTTTATTAGGACAAGATGCAAACTCAACAAGGAAAGACTGAATGAAGGATGGACCACACAGTCATTCAGGAGTGGTGTGTGTGTGCGCGTGCACACACATGTGAGAAAAGATAGCTCTAGATGACACAAGCTGCCAATTGTCCAAAGAGACTTATTTGGTTATCTGAATGTAGTGCTTCACAGACACACCTTGGACATGATCCCTCTTCTCCATCATGCCACTTACTGAAGTTGTAGAGAGGGAAAAGTGCAGGAGTACCCCTTTGTGGCTAGTGACACTAGTTTTAGGACTATGTGACATGGTTAGGGGAGACCATACACAGAGTGGGGTGAGTGTGCTCATCTCCCTTGTGGAGCATGCATGCAATTCCCTGCTTTGTTTTCTCCAACCAGCGTCTGTAGGTTTGCCTTCAGTCATGTGGCTGAATGGCCCATGGCCAGAGACAGTACACCTGCTCCAAGTCACAGGGCAGTGGAGCTCCCTGGTTAGGGCAGAAGACAGGGAGGTGGTTACAACCCTGGCAGGGAGGTCCAGGCCCTCCTGCTCCACTGGATCCCAGCCCAGGTCCCTGGTAGGAGCTGTACATCCAGCCACTCAGTCAGTGAGGAAAAGTTGCTAACAAAACGTGATGACTCCCTAGCATTAGCCCACTCATGTGGTGCATCTACACAGCATGGTAACTCAAAATAAAACACACAATTTGAGCTCTACAAATTGCGTAACTTATTTCGATCCTATTTCTAAATAGCTTATTTCGTTAATTGGCGCTGTCTATGCAGTGCCAAATTTTGAAATAAAGTGCTATTCTGAAACATCTCTTAAGCCTCGTAGAATGAAGTTTACAGGGATGTCAGAATAGTGAGCCTAAAATAACGGGCTTGCTGTGAAGATGTGAGATAGCAGGATACTCCAATATCCTGAAATAACGTTGCAGTGTAGATGTACCCATGATTAGCTGTCACCTTCCTTTTGGCTTCTTCCTGCTGCCATCCCCACAGCTGTGGTGTGCACCTCTGGCTCACCTCCCTGGTCCATGGGCTGCCCCCTCCTTGATGCCTCCAAACACTGAGAGACCTCTGGAAATGTCCTGCTGGGCTGTGGCATCTCCGTGCCTGGATTTCCAAAGTGGCTTTCCTGGAGCAGGCAATACATGTCCTCTGCCTCCAGCAGTCAGCCCCAAATAAGCTGAGCTGCTCTCTTTTATGCCTGTGCACCGGGGACATAGCCATACCCCTTCCGCCTCACTGGGTTTCTCAGCCCTCAGAGCCAGGTTAACTCCCTCACACCCAGTATGGGGAGAGCGTGCCACATCACAGGCTACTTTAAACAGCGGTTGCTGCATAAAAATGTCTTCACTGTAGTCACCTCTGTCCACTTGGTCACAAAGACCTGCAATTTATCCTTATATCCATGGTGTCACAACATCCTGCCAGTTTGTCTTGTGTAAAAACCCTAAAATCTGTCTAACTTTTCCACAATTACAAGTAAAGATGTAATGGTCATCTTCTGCCTCTCTTAGGGTATGTCTACACTGCATCCCTAGTTCGAACTAGGGATACAAATGGAGACAATCGAAGTAGTTAATGAAGCGGGGATTTAAATATCCCGCGCTCCATTAACATGATCTCGCCGGCGCGCTAGTTCGAATCACAGCTGATTCGAACCAGGAAGTGCGCGCCGGGACGCGTTAGTTCGGACTAAAGCCCTTAGTCCGAGAACTAGGGATGCAGTGTCGACATACCCTTACATCTCAGCTAACACTATCTTTTCTCCCCTGGCATTTCTGCATTACTCCCACTCCAGTTGTTAATTCTGCCTACAGTGGTCCTCCTGTTTCTGAATCCCTCTGACTTCCTCTCTCTTGTACCAGTGACAAGGTTCTCATCCTTGCTTTTGAGGCAGTGCATAATTCCAAATGGGCTTTCTTATATTCCTATCTTCCTCCTACTATCTTCACTACTTCTGTACCTTTCTGAGGAAAAAATTCAATTAATATTATCCTCCAAATCTTATTTTTGGGCTGTCATCCCTGTTAACCCTTATGTTATAAACAGATTTTTTCTTCTTTTGTGTCAATTAAACTGAAAAATCCCATCTTGGAACTCCTGTGAGGTCTTGCAGTACTGACTGGTATAGATATCCTATTAACCTAAGTGTATGATGAATCTTCACTAAGTCTGAAGTAGCTTGCAAGCTATTTAGGTACCAGTGTCTTCCTCCATACCTATGCAGGGCTATGCACAGTTGCCATTAATAAATAATGGATACTCAGTTTATGGTGTACACTCTTTATTTTAGTTCATTAATGTGTTATGATTAAGTCCAATAAATGCCAGAGCGCATGTGATGATTCTTAGAATTATACTCCTTTTGTATGCTACCTGCACCTGTGCTGACTTCTTACAGACCTCCCCTGTGCCTCAGTCTTTCATTCAAATCAGGGCTGAAACAGCAGGAAGAGATTTATATAGCAGAAACTGGAAAATGCCCACAATGAACCCATGCATGGAACTATATGTCTAACTCTTCTATTTGTGACTCTATTGTGCTGATGTGCTTAGATACGATATTTATTCATTTTCTGCATTATTTTGAAATTAACTGGTTTGTTGATTTGATTTCCCTCATTTTTCTTGGTTTCTTTCCCTCTCCCTACTGCTCGCACTTTCTTTTTTACAATCTGTCATTCTACTTTCTGACAAAAGAGAGAAAAGCCATTTGTTTTAACTTTAAACATGTATGCAAAACATGGAAAATAACAGCATGTATATGAAAGGTAAATTAACAACATGTTATTGAAGTTGTCTCTGAATAGAATGACTTTTTAACATAAGCAACAGCTTAATATACATAATTAGTTTTTTTCTTCTTTAAAAATATTCTCAGAGAACAGTCGGAAAGAAAACATAACAGCATTACAGATAGTTTTCAGTGATGTTCTTTCCTGATTTTTGTCCCACTGCATAAATAAGGGAATAATTAACCCACCATTGTGCTCCAGGATGAGGAAAAAGCATTTGTGAATGTTTATTAGCATTTTACAACAGATATTTATTTTGGTACTTGTTTAAATATTTTGAGAAACCTATTGCAACATTTAAACATAGAACACATCCACATTACTCATTTCACATGGTTTTCCCATTTATAGTTTACAAGGTTGAAAGTGATGAAGTTAAAAATATTCTTATTGTGAGGCACCATTATTTCTGGCCTGATCTTGAATCAACAGCATTATGCAGCTCCATACTTTCTGCGCCTCCACAAAGCATTACGTAGCCAATTGCAAACCTAAAGTTTAAACATGCCACTTGTTTGTTGTTTGGAGTCTTTATGCATCTCTGAAACAAGTATATTGGTGTGTCTCTTCTTTTCCATGATTCATTTTCCGTGCTTGTCTTGTTTATATATTCACTGACTCATTCATTTTTATTTTGCACCACAGGATATTTTTTTCATGAATTGGGTGGAGGTGTGGGGATTAGTGTACCCTTAACTGGTAGCTACTTCCCAAGATACAAGTAATGTGCCAAAAATGTATGTACTCTGGGAATAAAGTTATCTTTTTAGTACGATTCCTGTCCCAAATAGAGGATTTAGTCTTGACCTTTCAGTATAAATACGCAAAAGGACCATAGTCTGTTACTATGGTGAAAGCTCTCATTTGCAAACATTTCTGGAGAAAAATAACAGAGTATAATTTATCGTTCATATAACTTCATATGAAGTTGTCTAACAACAGAATGACTTTCTTTAACTTGAGCAACAACCTATTATAATCCAGCATTCATTTGTTTTTACTCGTTAAAAATATTGTGTCTCAGAGAATCGCTGGAAATGGGTTTCCTAGTTGAAAAAGTCTTTAAGATTATTTAAAGTAAAAACTGTACTGAAACTCCAAGGAAGATGCTTTAATGACTGCCTACTAGAGAGGACGATAGCTATTGTGGAGTCCATTGTATTTTATGGAGTCGACTCATCCCACAAATGTAAATCCAGAGTGACTCCACTGATCTCACTGGAGCGTGTAGCATTATATGTATGTCTGACTCAACAGCTTTTTAGTTATATTCAAATACTATACTCTTAAAGAGCACCAGGGTTTATACAACTTAAATAACCTTATGTGCAAAACCTCTGGAAATGCTGCATAAGAAAATGGTCTGATATTTTCAATGACTGGTCAAGTTCAAACTTCTGTGTTAGAAAAATATCTCAGGGCACATTTACAGTTCTGAGAAGATAGATGCTCTGGAGGTCAATCTTCCAGCGTTCAATTTAATAAATCTGGTAAGGACCCACTAAATCAAATACTGAGGGCATCCTTGTTGACCCAAGAACTCCTTGTGACTGCATAAGTACTTCTTGCAGCTGCGCAAAGTAAGGGAAGTTGATGGGAGAGTTTCTCATCAACCTCCTGCTGTGAGACCACCCCAAAAAAATTGCTGCAAGATATGTCAGCTACAGCTATTCAAGCAGCTGAAGTTGTGTATCTTACTTAGATTTTCTCTGTCATCATAGATGTGGCCTCAGTAATGTACTCCCTGCTTTGCAGGTAGGTTGCAGGTAGGTTTTGTGGAGTTGCGGAAAAAAGGAGAGCATGTGCATGAGGTACTTTGTCTCAAACAGTTCTACACCTTACTCCACCTTTGCAAATTCCTTTGGTCCTCTCCTCACTGAGGATGCTGCAGAGACAAGTTACGGCTGTGCTAAACTCTGGTTCCAAACAGAGAAATAAGGGATGGGGCATGGTTTTAATAGAGAGATTGCCACCCAACATTGAGCCAACACCTAATTAAGAAATGCTAGAATTTAGTCAGACCATGGACTCTTAATTTGTCACCTTTGTGAGTATTCATTTAGGATATAGTCTTTAGTTATATGGTCACTTACTGTTTTTTTCACAGGATCTTCCCCCCAGGACAGTTAGTGCTCAATTATAAAGAACTATTTAATATTTTATTTTTTATCCTTTGTTCAGTGTGTAACCCATGGCCTTATTCACTGGATGCTATTCAAGTCCTGCTCTGAAGATGGACAACTAATGTCCTCATGGACTCTTCTGCCATGCTCATCAACATCTGCGTGCTTCACAGCATTTAGTTTACTCCCCCCCACCCCACACACTCTGTGAGATGAGGGGATATTATCATATAGATGAGAAACTCCGGCAGAGAGATCAACCTTCCAGGAGCATAGCTCCACCCCCTCAGTTTGCCCAGGGGCCCACGGAGGCTGTCGGCTCCTCTGGATGAAGATGATGATGCAACATCATGTAGGTATGTCATGGGTGGTTTTTAACAAGGTTATAACCTTTAGCTCCACTGCACAGACATCAGCACTTGAGCTAATGGAGTCAGTAATAGCTATATTAAATTGTCTTCTGTGCCCCAGGCCTGGAGTGGGTTGAGAAATACACTTGGCCAGCAGAAGAACTGGGAGACTCAGAAATTTTGTGTTCCATTGTAGGCTCTGGTGGCTAGTGGTCCGTGATGTCTGCCTATTCCACCTGAAGCTGTGAAAAAGCTTGTTTTCCTTGCTCAGCTTTAGGGAAAATTGTAAAATTAAATCATTTGATTAGTATTTAGCTAGTGCTGCTTGTCTTGTTCTCTGATTTTTGTTGAATTTTTATATTTAAAAACTTAAGCACTTCTGCTATTTCCCAAGTTTCCTATTATTGTTTCTTGCTGCTCGTTGAGCAGTGGGACTACCCTGTCCTGGGTCTTCCTCTTGCTTCTAATATATTTACAAAATTATCTATAAATTAGTTACCCTTTATATCTCTAGCTAGTTTGAGCTCATTTTCTGCCTTTGCCTTTCTAATTTTGCCCCTGCATACCTGTATTGTTTGCTTATATTCATCTTTTGTAACTTGTCCTAGTTTTCACTTTTTTATGTGATTCCTTTTTGATTTTTAGATCATGCAAGATCTCCTGGTTAAGCCAACGCGGTCTTTTGCCATAATTTCTATCTTTCCTATGTAGCAGAATATCTTGCTTTTGGGCCCTTAATAATATCCATTTGAAAAACTGCCAACTGTCTTCACTTGTTTTGCCTCTTAATTTTTCTTCCCATGGGACCTTACCTACAAGCTCAATGAGTTTACCAAAATTTGCCTTCCTGAAATCCATTGTCTCTATTTTGCTGTTCTCCCTTCTACCATACCTTAGAATCATAAATTTTATGATTTCATGATCACTTTCACCCAAGCTACCTTCCACTTTCAAATTCTCAACCAGTTCCTCCCTAATTATTAAAATCAAATCTAGGACACCTTCCCCCCAGTAGCTTTTTCAACCTTCTGAAAGGTTGAAAAAGGTCTCTTCCCTTTCCAGGTTGACCAGTTGGGTACTGGTGAGCACTGATTTACAGGATTCTTAGCTCCAGGGGAGACCTACCATGCAGAATGCCCTGGATGCAGAGACCTCCTATTTTCAAGGTGATTGGGAAACCTTTTCATGCTAAGACTTGTAGGCTCCCTGCGATATGTTTGGACATCCTGAGATGGACTTTTAGGATGTGTAGATCTAGAGCAGCCCCACCATGTCTGTATCCAGAATCCTGGGCCAACTGGTTCCCCCTACAGCCCAAGTCTGGTGAAAATGACAGAAGTGTCAGTTGGTGATTCTAGGGAGCTTCTTTTTTCTTAGAGAGACCCTATATTGGTGTGTTTTGTTTGTAAATTTCCGTTTGGAGAGATTTTTTTTCCAGTTTCAAACCAAACCAAATTTAAAAATTAGTGGAATTTATATGAAGTGACTCTGAGGGGGATCGGTATTGATGAAAACATTTTTTTAAATACGAAAGGTACAGTAAATGGTTTAATGTGAACAGAGGATACATTTCCTGTTATTGCATAATGCTCAGAGATGTGCGACATGCATCATGGAAGAAAAATAGTTTATGGGCTAAATATGCTACTTTGGCTTCTGTTTTCAAGCACAAAGCATTAAAAATATAAAAATCCAAATAATTTTAGGAATTCTTTGTATTTTTCTATGCTAAAGATCTATCTTATGAAACATGAGAAAGTTGGGGAATTTATTATGTCAGTCTACTTGGTTTACTGGCCTTTGATGCTATTGAAGTAAGTTACTTTACAAGTTTTCCTTGTAGTGACTTTATACGCTAAGACACAAACCTTTTAAAGTGAATTCAGTGCTTGTGAAAACAAAAATTGGAGTGGCATAGTTAATTAAGAGGGAACTTTCTTGTACCACACTGCAGAATCATCTGTGGTGATCACAAGATCATTCAGTAGTCTTTATTGGAACCATCAAAAAAGCTATCTGGACATGCCTTTCCTCTGTGCTGATAGATAATACAGTCAGAGGAGCCCTAAGACTCCAATTTAAAAGAAGTCTTGCTATTAAGGAAAGTACTTAAACCTATTTTGCATTGATCTCAGTATAGATATAAATGCTGAATGTAATAAATAAGACATACAACTTTATGATATGAATCAGTTCTAAATAACTGTTTCCTGACAATCAGCTATTTGTTCTTTTTTGTTTTCATTTTGTTTAAGTGTAGGACTCCTGTTATGAATAATTTTTTTATATTAAACTCTAGTACTAGTCAGTTGTGATTGTGGCTTGTGATGAGGCTCTCTGTTGGCAAGAAAATTTGTTGGGTTCACTCACTCCATTTACATATGCCAGTGGATAGCTATTGAACAATAACCATTTGGAGTAACTACATACCAGATCTTGTTGTTAATCACTGGAAGGCTCCATATATTCTAAGCTATAGTCTTTTCTCTAAGGAGTATTGGATGCTGCGTTGGAACTGCTTTAAAATAGAAAACTATTTTTTCTTTAGACATTTAAATGGAAAGACTGAATAGGACATCTAATCCATTAGTCTTTCAGCGCAGGATTGATCTCAGACAGTTTCTAGTGGCTTTTCCTAGTTTTTTTCTAAACAATCTATTAAATGTGTAAACAGTTTAAACATTTTATTTTACCTTGGAGTGCATATATACACTGAATAATCTTTGTGTCATGACTTTGAGATGCTCCCCCCACCCCGTGCTATGAATACATTTTGAAAGAGACCAGATACATGCAAGTCATAGTTGGACTAAAGAATCTATGAAAGCTAGGTTAACACTCATAACAATGTAACATATAGATGTTACATTTCAGCCCCAAAATGTAGCAATTTATTGAAAATGTCAGAAGTAAACTAACAACAGAATTAGTATCTGACCTTTAATTAAAAATCTTTCCCTTTTGACAACTTTACTAGTCAGCATAATTGAACAGCAATATACAGCCACACTTACTCATAAAAGATTAACACTAATTTTTGTTCCTTTCCACATCTCATTTTTTTTTAAATATTCACAAGTTGTGGAAGGATATTAGGAAAATTCACTATAACCCTTATATTTAACAATGGTTACTACCTCATGGTATTTGCAAATGGAAATTGCATAATAAAGAAACATAATGTCACAGTGTGAGTATCCTTAATTTTTGATCAACAATTTGAAAAACTGCTGCTGATTTTTTATTCTTGAGGACTGTAGGGGGAAAAAAGGTCACAGCACAGTTAATTTATTTAACCCAATGTAGATGAAATTGAACTAAAAATAATGATATGCAAATGTAAATATTTTAATGGAAGACTGATAACAGGTAAGTGTAACTAAACTTTCTGAAAGATTACAGATCACATGCCAATTTATTTTTAGGAAAAGCCAATACAACAACAGACCAGATGCTGAGAAGCCAACTGTATTTCTCATCAACTAAGGTACTTACAGCAAATCTCTAAAAAGAAGTCTTGAGTGCAGCTGTGAACATCTCTTATGATTAACTATTTTTAAATACAAATATAGGACTAAATCCTGCCTGCTACCAAGATTTATGAAACTTTCTAGTGGGTAATGGCCCTGTTTTGAAAAGCAATGTGTGGCAATTTATGGTTTCACTATATGTATATGTGGTTTTGATACAAATCCAGGTACTACCCTCTACAGCTTTGACTTAAATATGCAGTGTTTATGTTTTACCTTTTGAAGTTTATTTGTTGCAATTATGCTTGGATAGAAACTGACATGTCTGTATGAGCCCTTGTCAGCAAAACTGCTGAATACTGACACTGCTTTCATTTGGAGCTTGTGAAAGTTTTACTAAATGAGACCATGTATAATCTGTGCTTAGTCTAATCAGAAGTGCAGTCCTAGGTCATGCCCTCAGTGTGTCCATGAGTCCTAATTTATGCTATGATATAAAAAAAATGAATATCAGGTAGATACCTGAGCTAACGCAACATTAAAATATTCTATGGAATTAGAGATTGCTGATTGCATTTATATTTTGTATAAAGTTAGAATGCTTTTACTGAAACCATTTTCAATGAAAAAATGAAAAACCTTATTATTTCACCCTGTTTTCCAACCAGTTCTTCTATTTATTACAAACTGTTTTATAGATTAACAATGTTTGTTGACTGGGGGCTTTCAGAGCATATATCTGTTTTCTCACATAAAACTTAGTGCCAGATGTCACACAATTTTAATTACAGTAAGTTCTCAGATCACACACAGGATATTTTTTTAAATTTTGAAAAAGTCATATGTTAAAAAAAAAATCAAAGAGTATTTATGAAAGGTATATGAATGGTATCTCAAGAACCAGAGAGCTTCTTCCCACAGAATGAGATTCACCTGCTCAGGTGCAGTTTACAGATATGGAGAAAATGCAACAGGGTATATAAAAGTAATTCAGTCTCAGTAGTGAGGGGAAAAAAAGCTTCAGAGCAAAAATGCCTGAGAATTCCAGATATCCAAGACCAGATGACTGCCAAATAAATTGTGTTCCTCTGTAGAATTTCTAAAATTCATGCTTTTCTTTCCATTTTCTTGGCTAAATTACTTCTCCATGTTTGGTCATCTCCCAACTCCAGTATTGCAGCTACTTCTTTTTCTCTCTAGCGTCCCAGAGTCACACCTTCCTCTCTGTCACTCTATCAACAAAATTTTGCCATTAATATAATCTCTAACATGCCACTTGGACCATGCCATTAGCATCTAGTTTCCTTCCCCTTACCTTCTACATAAGTGCAGGATTCTTTTATTTACTTCAGGTCCGTCTGTAGCTGATCTACTTATGGCTCTGCTTTTCCAGCCTTCCCTTAGTCTCTTGGACACTTCCATTGGTTTCTGTGTTTTCTTTTGTGCTGTTATAGATGCAACAAACTCCTTCTTCTGTTGCTATAAGGTTGCATTCTTCCTTGAAATATTCCTAAAGGCTCAGTTCTTCTGTTACTCTTACCAAGTCATTATCAACCTCATTGAAAAAACACACACACTTATTTTATATTTTTAAGGCTAAACATTGTATAATGGTTGTGGCCCTCCCACACATTTTGTTTATTTTCTTATCAATTGCTTTAATTGTTCATTTAGGCCCTTTTACAGCAAAGGTCTTATATATGGGTATGTCTACACTACCCTCCTAGTTCGAACTAGTGGGGTAATGTAGGCATACCGCACTTGCAAATGAAGCCCGGGATTTGTATTTGAATTTGAAGTCCGGGATTTCCACGAGGTGTACCGGTAGTTCGGAATAGGAATCCTAGTTCGAACTACCTAGTTCGAGCCCCGTGTAGCCGCGCTGCCCGGGGTTCGAACCAGTGGGATTTTAAAAATGGCGGCTCCCCGCTTATGCAAATGAAGCCCGGGAAATTCAAATCCTGGGCTTCATTTGCAAGTGCGGTATGCCTACATTACCCCACTAGTTCGAACTAGGAGGGTAGTGTAGACATACCCCATCTGTGGCAATAATCCTTCTTTTCCTTGCCTGCCTCTGCACTTTATCTGAGGCCGCCATGGTAATACGAGCCTCAGATAAAGCATTCCCCTATCTGCCACAGCTCAGCAGTTAGCCTTACCCTTATCAAAGGGTTGTTCATACCCTCACTGTCTCTAGCTTAGCAGGACAGACCTACTTGGCTAGTCCTCTGAAGCTTTCTAGCTTAGCAGGCACTTAGTGGAAATGCCTTTCAGGTAGCCCTGAAATGGAATCAGCAGATCCTAACTGAGGCAAGGTAGCCCTGTCTCAGCTGATCCTAATCTGCCTATGACAACACCTTTTTAGCTGATCCTGATATGACCTTCAGTAACCCACTTCTAGTTAACAGGGGAGTGGGCCTTTTACCCTTGGAGGGCTGCCTTTTCCCACTCTGTTGCAGCCATCTGGCCTTTGTCACACACCTTATGAAGACTCATCCTGTTCAGCAAAGAATTTAACTATATCCTTGAATTCAATCTGAGATCATCATAAAACAGCAACAAAATAAAACTTTAAAAAATATTTTCATTGTTATTTAAAAGGTAACATCCCTCACCACCCAAAAACACTCAACAAACTGTTGTTCCTCCTTATCCCGCCTCTCCCCTTCCTCCCCCCTCCCCCCCGGACAATTAGGCTGTGTCTACATTGCACACTTCTTGCACAACAACAGCCGTTCTTGCGCAAAAACTTGCTGGCTGTCTACACTGCTCGCGCATTCTTGTGGAAGTAAATTTACAGTATATCGTTGGAAAACAGGGCTTCTTCCAGAAGAGTTATTCCTCTCCCCATGAGGAATAAGCCCTCTTGTGCAAGAGATCTTCCACAAGAGGGCAGTGTAGACAGGCAACATGAATTTCTTGCACAAGAAACCCCTATGGTTAAAATGTCTATCAGAGCTTTCTTGCGCAAGAGGGCATCCACACTGCCATGGATGCTCTTGTGCAAAAGCACATGGTAGTGTGGACGTGCTCTTGTGGAAGATTTTTTGCATAAGAACTCTTCTGCAAAACAGTTCTTGAGCAAGAAGCCTGCAGTGTAGACGTAGCCTTATAGTAATGTAAGGAAATAGGGAATTAAGGCTACCACTCCATCATTACCATTCTGTGCTGGTGCTGGAACAGAATGCTATCTTCAAAATCAGCTGCACTGCTATACTGAAAAGTAATGTAATCAAGAGTGTCAGTCTTAAATCTGAGTTTCCTTGCTGAGGTAGCCTGTTCTTTTATGTTTTATTTAACATGATGCTTTTTCTGTATAGTTCATAAACACAGAGAATGTACTGTAAGTGCTTTTTTATACATCTGTATATAATAGCCCGAGGTTATTAATCTAACTGGGCATTTTGTAGGTACTTCATCTGAATTGTTCTTTAGAGTCACAGGCATTTGATGTTTTATAAAATGAAGATTTATCTAGTCAGCTGGATTAAAGAAAAGGAGGGGGTTCAGTATTCTCATGAGCTCATTGCCTAAGAGCACCTGGGAATCAAACATCTGATCAAAGCTGTTCTACACGCATGTAGATCTAGTTTTTCTTGGCTGAAAATCATACACGTATTAAGTGAGATTTTTCCAGTTTTTGCCATTCCCACCTGATGTCATCCTCCAATCTGATAATTCAACCTTAACCAATGAGAGAACATTATTCACAACAGGGATTTAATCAGGGAAGGCTTTCTCATGGCATTTTCCTCCCTGCAGACATTTCTCAGTGCTGAGCACATTAACATTTTCAGAACCCATGAACAGCTGATGACTAGAATTTTTTTGCATGCAAATAGTGGGCACAGTCTGCTTTCAGTGCGCTGATATGAGTCTCAGCTATGAATCTTCTCATGACTTTATTTAAAGCGAACCCAGATACTTGCTTTTCCTTGAGCATATTTCTCTAATGTACTCATGTATCACGCTTTCATAGTCTGTTGTCCTGGGATTTGATTTTATGGGTGACCTGTACAAATGAGGAACCTATATTCAATCTGGATGTTTGAATAAAATAAACAAATGCTACAAGTAGTGGAGGACAAGTTTATGGATGTGGTTTTTGTTGTTTTTGCATTTTTTATATAAATCTAGCATACAGAGGTTGAATATGTTTTGAATGAATTGTGTGTATCGGCTTGCATCGTTTGTGATTGTGGACTTTTCTTTGGCATTCCTAAATAGTTGTCTTAACACTAAAAGAATCTTGTAGTTTCACTTAAAATAGGCTGAGTAAGGATTTAATTGAGATTTGACAGGAAGGTTACGTTAATTAAATGCCAGAAATGTTTGTAATATTTGCTATTTAAAACGTAATACAAATAAATTTATTCCTAAACATTTAATTATAGCTTTTGTATAAATCTAATACTAATTGGTTATTAAAGTATATTTCCAGAGATTTAATAGCTGGAGATATTTTTGCAAACTATATATCTATTACGCAAGTAAGTTTCCATAAATATTGTTAAAGTTTAAAATACAGTTTACCTTCCAAATGAGAAATATATAGTCAGTTGGTGCATGGTCTCTAAAGAGTAATTTAACTATTTAATTTAAATTTGAGCATAAGACCTGTCTTCATTTTCACTTTTCTTTCCACATGACAGTTTCTGAACTGAACTGAACACCAGTGTTCCACCCCTTCTTTGAGGCCCCACTTACTGGTCTCTCTATCCATTGCTCTCTCTTCCCCACTCTCACTTTCACTAGGCTTGGACAGGGTGTTGGGGTGTGTGTGTGTGGTGGCGGGGGGGGGGGGGGGGGGGGGGGGGGGGAAAGGAATGAGAGCTCTGGGTGGCATTGTGGAGCCACAAATGAGGCATTTAGAGTGTGGGAGAGGACTCTGGCTTGGGGTAGGGGTATAGGTTGAGTGTGTGTGCCTGTGTGAGGTTCTGGATGGTGGTGTGGGCTCCAGGCTAGGGCAGGAATTTGCATGATGGAAGGGGGTGAGGGCCAGGCATGAGGAGTTTAG